AGTAATTTTTGATGGATGAATAATGATTATATGATATAATAGAACATATTTATAATTTGAAAATGGCATTTCTGGTTCCAGCTTTTCCATTAATCAGGTGTATGAGTTAGAGTATGTCAAATAACTTGTCCGGATTTGATTTCTGTTTATAAGATTTAGAAGTTTGAACCAAACATACTCAAAAGTTTCTTCTTGCCCTGATATTTTACAGTTTATTTGAGGGATTAGCATATTGCAATGTGCATTGCATTGCTAATAATTTCAAATAGAGGTGGCCAGCACCAGTCGTGGAGGGAGTAAAATGAGGACCATATATAAATAAGCCCAGTGCAGTACATGCTGCCTTGTGAAGTTTTGAGAGCTTTTAAGGGCTTTATAGGAAAGCCACAAAGATGAGATAATGAAATAGGAAGTTGAAGCCTGTGATAGATAGATCAGTCATGTCTGGCTCTCTGCAACCCCATAGACTGTAGCCTTCCAGGCTCCTCTGTCGGTGGGATTCTCCAGGCAAGAATACTGGAGTGGGTTGCTATGCCCTCCTCCAGGGCATCTTCCCAACCCAGGGATCGAACCCAGGTCTCCCACATTGCAGGAGGATTCTTTACCATCTGAACCACTGGGGAAGCCTACAGATAGACAGATATGGATATATACAGAATCTGATGTCATTGGTTCAAAAGAAATGTGAGAAATAGCCTAAGAATAGTTATAAAGAATTTTCCATTATGCCCCAAATGTGTGTTGCCTATTATGTGCTAGACATTGTTTTTATCAAGAAACTGAGAGATATGTTGACACTGGAATAAGCAGTAGCAAATGCTCCTTTGAGGAAGAAACAGTTGTCCATCAGGGCAAGATGAAATGGATTGGGTTAGGCAAGGTGCTTGGGAGATCTCCTGTGGTCTTTGGACGTGGCAGTCCCTGTGTTTGAGATGGTTTAGGAAACACCTCGCCTGATGCCCTGTTTCCTAAGTGCTCTTTGATCTGTCCTCCCAGCCTGAATCCTTCTGTTCTTTTCCACTGTTGCTGTCTTTGCAACCTAAGCAGGTGAGAGATAAAACTTTCACTATATGCTCCACCCCCCCACCAATTAAAATATTCTAGAAATTAGGGTGATGGAAATGTTGGCGTGTCAGAATACTAAGATAGAATAGGATTTTCGCCTTCCCTTAGTTATGCTTTCTAGGTGTAGTATCACCAAAAGCCAAAAGTTCCTTAAGTAAGCATTTGCAAATATAAGCCCCCAAATACACTACGAAGCTGCCTGTGGTCTGTGTTTCATGATGCCCAGTGGTGAATCGGCCTTCTGTGTATACTGTAGCTTCTAGTGGTGGTGGCTTAGTCCTAAGTCATGTCTGATGCTGCAGCCCCCTGGACTGAAGCCTGCCAAGATCCTCTGTCCATGGGATTTCCCAGGCAAGAATACTGCAGTGGGTTACAATTTCCTTCTCCAGGGTATCTTCCCGACCCAGGGATCAAACCCAGCTCTCCTGTGTTGCAGGCTGATTTTTTACTGACTGAACCACCAGGGGAGCCCTGGTAGAGTTTCTATTCTAAACCTTAAATGGGCTCCAGGATTGCGTGTACCAGCTTGCCCTTAATTCAACATGGCAATGAATAGTGCTCCAGTGAGGTTCATGGTATAGAAGTGATTTTAAGGTAGCCCATTGGTTTGCATTTTCTTTGCCATTTCTTCCATTATCTGGATAAGTAAGAGTTATCCACGGTTTCAATGACTTTTCTCTTTTATATTGTCACCAAAGTAAAAACTGAGTACAATGACACTTTTATTACTGCAAAAGCAAAACTGCAGAGTGTTTATATGGCCTCCTTTATGCCATCAGAATCAAGTGCTGATTTATAGAGCCAAGGTCTGAAAGTATGCTATCTTGCCCATAGTAAGATCTTCCCCATATCTAACTATAAAGGAAACACATTGTCTTACCCGTAGTATTAGCTACACATGCCCTATATCTTTATTAAAGCATCCTACGTAAGTTTCAGTTGATTTTAAGCCTTTTAAAATTTGAAACAGCAGACTTAGTTTACTCTAATCCAGCAGCAGTTTACAGTCTCATGAATGGGAATCTGTCGAAAACCTTCCTGCTCAAAATGTGGTTCTTGGACTAGCGGCATACACATCGCCTGGGAGATGGTTAGAAACGTGGACTTGCAATCCTTCTCTTCCTCCTGCTGAATCAGAATCTGTATTCTGACCAGGTAATTCATGCACATGTTAGGTTTGAGAAGCACTGGATTTAAATCTATCACTAAGACTCTATCTAGGTGAGATTGGTTTGAATTCGGCAGAACTGTAAGTTATATTTACCTTTGATCTGGAGAAAAGATAAACCCAACAGATATGAATGACTGTGTAGTCTGAAAATATTTATAAATAATAAATGTGTGAAAATTATATGAAAAATGTGAGAAGTTAGACATATTGGCAGTAAGTGAGAAAAAGAGCCCAGAAAATGCAGACTAAATGTGTGTGCACCAAAGTTTTCTGTAATACATCATATTTGGGGAAATGGAGCACGGAGCCTCTCATGGTATTTGTGACGTAAGGGGTGATGAGTAGGCAGAAAACCAGAAGTGAATCAGTGATGCGTCGCAGTGGTCACTGCTCTACTGCCCTTTGTTTCCTTAGAGATGTTCTTAAAAGCAGAGCCTGGCTGTGGCTTATGTTCCTTTCACACAGTAAGTGACAGTGTTCCCTAGAAAGATCAAGGTAGATTGGACAGTGTTAAGAGATGGCCCGGAAGATTGATTAGGGCATGGGAAGAACTGATTTATGAGGAAGGAGAAAAGTAATTAAATGGGCAGCACTGTGCTATAAAAAGAGGCTATAGAGACATGAGCATTTATTTGGTAATTCTCCAGAGCTGTTTTCCTGTAGTATCCATGTGCAAGATGCAAAACATTAGGCTTTAAGGATTCTGAGAAGTTTGTTACAAAACAAAGCAATAGCAGCTGGAATGGCTCAAATGAGGAGCAATATGAAGGATCAGGTTTCAGGAAATTTTACCTGGTACAGGAGTGACCTTCAGTGGGATGACTTTATCTCTGAAAACTTTTGAAAGCTCTGTGGGACAAAGGGTGGAAAATCATTTATTAAGTTGTAGAATTATCTCCCCAGGGAAATAATTGGAACCCATTTCTTGAAACTTCTAAAATTAGGGTGGAGGAAAGCCAGGATGTTGCCTGTGGGAAAACTCTGCACTTCTGGCAGAGACCTGGTGATTCATGAGTGACCTGTTTCTACTGCACTGTCTTTGATTATTACTGTCTTACTGTACACAGGTAATTTTTTTCATCAGGCTAGTGTCTTATTTAAATTAAAAAAAAATACTAGTTTCTGGAAAAACAGCTAAAGAGTGTCACTCATCTGCCCTCTGTGGTGTCTGCCTGTGTGGCATCTGTAGGCTGCCTGGCAGCCAATGACATTCTTTTTCCATTTCTCTTCACTCATTATTCATTAAGAGATGCAGTTTAGCATATATTGGAAGCAGATTCACTGGCTACATTCTCTTCATCTGGAAAACTAAAGACATGCCTGCAATATGCCTTGCCTTTTGGGGCCGTTTGTCAAATGGATACAAGTCAGAAATTATCTAATGCTTCAGAGAGTTTAGCAGTCCTTTTCACCAGCTCACGTTTGTCAAGGAGTAATGGTCTGAGGCTGTGACATTTCCTTCTCTCTCTGTAGGCGTTTCTCTCTAGTGCAGTGAATCAGCCGAAAAAGGAAGCCCAGAACCCCCGTTCCATTGGTCAGAAAGCAAGTAAAACACAGTAAAATTATTCAGTATTCTATTTATTTTTTATGCTAATTCCTTCAGGTCCACATTTTTATTGCTTAGGAGATCTAGTTTAATGTTGGTACTATTAAGAATAAAGGGCTTCCCTTGTGCCTCAGCTGGTAAAGAATCCGCCAGCAATGCGGAAGACTTGGGTTTCTATCAAATATGTTGACTGGAATTATTAGATATACTTCTTTACACTGGTGTTTGACAAACTTTGCCAAACTTAAATATTAAGTCACATTAATTGACTTACTCTAAGTGCTCCATATCATGAATTGACTTTTTATTGCTATTGTTTTCTAAACTATTATTCAATTTTGTTATTTATGACTTAATGCACCTGCTTTAGTTTAAAGAAATTTTATTTTTCTGTAGCCAAAAGTTTTTACTTTTTTCCTTCTTGAAAGATTTCTAGACCTAAACAAAAAGGCTAGGATTAAATTCTGCTCTTGTGTCCATAATACAAAGATAATTTCCCCTATATCCTGTTTTTATGAAAATAGCTCTATCAAATTGCTGTATCTTACAGTGCAAATAACAACTGTCTTCAAAATGAAAACTAATTGAGGAAAAATAAAATTGATAGATTGCAATCTTTCCTTTTCTTCTCTTGCTTCCTGACTGATACATCTACCGAAGGAGCAGGGGGAAAAAGTCCTTTTTCTTTTTAAATCATGCTCCTAGTGTCATATTGATTTTCTCTCAAGTACACCCTCTGGTCTCAGATGCTCACATATTTTCTCACATTACTGGCACTGATTCAGCACCGTGACTCACTGGTTGACATGTGTTGCTTGCATTGATGACATGTTCACTGTTGACATTTCCTGGTGGGGGTGAGGGTGGGGGCATCCAGCCTCTGATGCCTAAAACCCCAGAGAACAGGCTGTTGCACCACCATCTTCTCATTTTTTGAAAAGTAATTATTGTTCACCCCCAGTGACACTGTTAAGTCTTGTCAATTTTACTTAACGTTGTTCCCAATCTCTCCAACAGTGTTTTGAGTTCTTTTGTGTCTCTGCTGATGCAGAAAGGGAAAAAAATGCCCCCCCATGGGGTGTCACAAAATGCGAGCGGTACAGGGTTTGCGAGGAAAACGAGTGGCCCTGGGGGTCTGAGGGAAGAGGCGGCTGCCGCTGCGCCCCCTGGCGGCGGCTCCGCCTCACCCCTGGCTCTCCGCCCCCGCCTGTGTTTCAGCTGGCCGTGCGGTGGCTGGAGCGCAGCTGCCACCACCAGTACATGGACGAGCTGCTGCAGTACGTCCGCTTCGGCCTCATGGACGTGGACACGCTGCACGCCGTGGCCCTGTCCCACCCCCTGGTCCAGGCCAGCGAGACGGCCACGGCGCTGGTCAACGAGGCCCTGCAGTACCACCAGAGCATCTACGCGCAGCCCGTGTGGCAGACCCGCAGGACCCGGCCGCGCTTCCAGTCGGACACGCTGTACATCATCGGCGGGAAGAAGCGCGAGGTCTGCAAGGTCAAGGAGCTCCGGTACTTCAACCCCGTGGACCGGGAGAACGCCCTCCTGGCTGCCGTGGCCAACTGGAGCGAGCTGGCGCCCATGCCCGTGGGGCGGAGCCACCACTGCGTGGCCGTCATGGGCGACTTCCTCTTCGTCGCGGGCGGGGAGGGGGAGCACGCCAGCGGGCGGACGTGTGCCGTGAGGACCGCCTGTCGCTACGACCCCCGCAGGAACTCCTGGGCGGAGATCGCGCCCATGAAGAACTGTCGGGAGCATTTCGTGCTGGGAGCCATGGACGAGTACCTCTATGCCGTCGGGGGCAGAAACGAGCTGCGTCAGGTCCTGCCTACGGTGGAGCGGTACTGCCCCAAGAAGAACAAGTGGACGTTTGTCCAGTCCTTCGACCGCTCCCTGTCCTGTCACGCTGGCTACGTGGCCGACGGTCTTCTGTGGATATCAGGTAGAACATGCTTCACGCATGGGATTTATTACAAAACCCTTTCATTCATAAATTGAGAAGTCAAGCTGTGGTAGTTGTGGCCACATGTGTCTGAACGACTCAGCCAAGGATGCCGTTTTAGCTAATGCACGTTCATTTACCGGGCACCTGTTTCTGCAGAGAGCAGTGTAAGGGGAAGTAACTGACCCTTCTGTGACTTTCTGAGTGATTCTCCTTGTGGTCCTTTGCTGTTCCTCTCACCTTGGGCTGTCTGAGGAGGAGCCAGTCTATCAAAGGCAGGGCAGGTGAACAGAAGCCCAGGTAGTCCGTGTGGATGGGTGTGGCGGTGGGAGAGATCCAGGTCAGAGCCGTTGCTGTGCGCTGAGGGAAGAGGTTTAAATTATTCGCTAAAATAACACCTCCCCTTTATCTGTGAATTATAGTATCTTCCTAATTATTTGGGGGTTCTGATTATTTTACTTCTTTTTGCATTTGATTTTTTTTGGAAGGTGATAAAATGAATCCCAGCTCCTATAACCCAGCTTCAGCAGGTACCTGCTCGGGGCCAGTCTTGGCTCATTCACACCCCCATGCCACTTCCAGCTTCTCATGCCTTTGCATTGCTACAGAAGGAACCTGTGAGGCATGTGTTATTAACATCACATTATCAACTTGTGTTTCCAATCCTGTTATTGAAAAGAACCTCATATGTACTCCTTTGAAAGCTTTGCCTATTAGGGAAGAAAGTTGCATCTCCTCTCAGTTGGAGGATAGTCATTTTGTGACCCAAATGGAGCTTATTAGGTTTCTGTGTCAAGGACAAAGAGGAATAGTCAAATCAAATAAATACCAAGAGTAACTTAGAGGTATTTGTACTTGGAAGAAACAATCACTTTTAAGTACACTAGTGAAGACTTCTCAGTTTCCTTCAGTAATCTTCTCTAGTTTAAAATCTGCTCCAACAAAATACTCCCTTGCATTTAAAGTAAATTCACTGGACTCTGCCCATTTTTCCTTCTGCTATCTTCAGTAACTAGGGAGACAGTAGTCTTGGTGTCTCTGGGTAGTGCCTCAGTTATTGGCAATTCACTGATTTTTATTGAATAAACCTGGCTCTTGTCTGGATTTAATTGCTCAATAATTAATGATGAAGATTGAGGCCAAGGAAGAGGGTAAATGAGGATAAATTACTGGTCTTGTATACCAAATCAACATTAGATATGAGTGTGTATGCTGTTATATGTCGATACAGATAAGACCTCATTTATCTGGTGACTTACTCCTTTTTCTTTAAGTATATATTTCAGCAGTTAAGGAAGAAAGCCGCCAGGACTATATCCTGTTAGATTTGTTGAAGAAACCTTAAACTTGGCTACAGGAGAGTCATGGCCATTAGGAAGAACGGATCTGTACTTCACTTAGATAACAAATCAATCATGGATTTGTAAAATCAGTGTGCTTTATGTTGTCTTCCAACTTAGCATTCCTTCTGCTGACTCATTCAGCTTTCACCTATGGCTAAGGTATTGCATTCCTAAATTTTGCATTGCCTTTTCTAAATTTTGTATAAACATCTCATAATTTAATGATTATTCCTTATTTTTAATTTTGGATATAAAACTTTTTAAAAAATGCTGGAGTTTCCCTTACATAGTCTTAGAGGTATAACTACTTAACACTTTCTTGAGTGAGGCCTTAAGAAAGCAGAGAAGCTTATCTTAGCCTAAATCTAGGTCTCTCAACCAGGTACCTAGCTGACTTCTCTCTCCATGTGGGTCTGTATGTTTCCTTTTCCATTTTATTAAATGTATCAGTTTATTTCAGTTCCTGCTGCTCTATCACTTTGTTTTTTCGCTATTATGAAAGGAAATAACTTCCTTTGTTCTCTTTTTGCACTAATATATTCTGCCTGTGTTAACCATACTGAATGAAAACAATCACAGTTTTCTCAGGTTTGTTTCTCCCTACTGTGTACTTGAGATGAAAAGCTTACTTCCCTGTGTACGGTACAATACCTTTAATTGGAAAGAAGAGGAAATCACCAGTGACATTTCTAATACCTTCAGTCGTCTGCCTATTTCCTCAGGCCCAGCTTATAATAAATCAGTTGTGAATCTAACCATGGATAGGAAAGGGTTGCTAGGGGTCCTTTAAAAAAAAAAAAAAGGTATATCTAGTTCACCCTGACTGTCTCTGATTTAGAAGTGTTACCCTGATTTCTTTTTGGAGTAGATAAAAATATTTCGGGCTATTCCTTGTCCTTTACCAAATAATTAATTTTTTTCAGTTTAACTGATGGTGGATTGGGTCACTGGCATCCTTCTGGTATTTTGTAAACTTTGCCTGAGGTGACGTGGATTTTGGGGGCTTATTTTTGTTCCATAGAACACAAAATGAATGCCTTTTTAGAGATTCAGTATTTCCCGTGTGCTCACTCTCTCCTCTCTCCCCTTCACTGTCCGTTTTAGGGTCAGGATGCCTGGAAACCTGCCCCTGGTTTTTAAAATGAGACAAACAAAAAATAAAATGAGACAAGCAGAGATGAATTCAGAAAATCGGGCTGCGTAGATATGCCCATTAGCATGTGATTTAAGATGTTAGAGACAGATTTTACAGGCTCCTCTATCATATGACATCGTGACCCAGTTCACAAACGCGCACATCATTTCTACTTGAAATTCACAATCCTGGAGTAAAGTAAGCGTTAAGTATCCTGCTGTTGTACTTTTTAGAGGCATGTTCTCCATTGTAAGAGATTGTGAACTACTGAAAAGATCCTTTTTCGTGTGAGTGAAAGTGAATCGCGAACTCATCTTGCAGAATAACTTACTTTTCATTTTTGTCAAATGGCAGCAGGATAATGGGACGCCAACCACAAAATTAGCGCCTTAAAACTACAAAGACAAGACAGATGGTGCTGCATTTCCTCAAAAGTGGCACTTAGTGCTGTCTCCATTCTCTCAGCAAATGGTCTATCCTTATTAAGTCAGTGCTGGATCAGGGATACATAAGATTAAATCCACAGACACACTTCCTGCCCTCTAGGAGTGGACAATCAAAGAGTTTTTTTAGCTCTTTCATTCGTGAAAGAACATTTGCTAGGGCTTCTTTAACTCCCTAGAATATATGTTTATTTTCATCTTGATTAAATTTAGATGAAGTTTGCATTTGCCCCATTTAAAGTAACTTTTATTTATTCAAACCCACTATAGGGACTTTAATTTTTCTGGTATTCATTATAATTAGAACAATATAAAATATAGTCAGCATTTTGAAAATGCCACAGCTATAGCTTTAATGTACAAATATTACTGCATCTAAAGAAACTGTATACAAAACATGGGACAAGCAGGGGACATGCCTGAGGCTGGTTGTGTGAACTGAGGTCTCAGACCAAGGGCTCACGCACGTGTGAAACTTGCTCCGCTCTTTGCCAACCAGCAAACTGAGCAAGTTTCCTCGCCTCCCTGAGTCTGGTTCAAGGCTAGTGCTGCAGCCACGAAGACGCAAAGGCAGGTCCCACGCTGGGCTCACAGGTTTTAAATGGATGATTACGGTGTCGTGTGATGTGTGTGTGACGAGAGATGTCTTCCCAAGATGCAGAATTAGCGTGAAGCAGGCAGTGGCCAGTGTAGGGGAGCCAGAGGCTTCGTGGAGTTTGTGGCACCCGCAGCCTCACTTAGCCCCAGGTCCCTTGGCTGCTTCCTACTTGCCATTAACCCCTCCCTGTGTCAGGCTTGGGCTTCACGGCCCAACCGTTTCCATAACTCTCTCAGCCTCTGGCAGGCACCCAGGGCTGGAAAACCCTGTGGTCCACTTCGTACGTGGACCTGGGCAGCCGAGCTCGCTGGGAGGAGGCCAACTAAGGGGGCTTGGTATAGCTATCTGCTCAGCCCCCAAGTCCTCGCTGTACCCCACCACTAGGGTCCCATCTACCCTCCGCTAGCTTCCTGCCTCCTGTTTCTCAGAGCAAACGGAAGTGAGGAGGTTCTCGCAGCAAATTAAGTATGAGAAGGTGGTGAAGAGTGCGATCAGCCAGAGGGGCGGAGATGGTCTAGAAGGGGCAGAAGGTTGGGAAACACTGGCGAGGAGCATGCAAAGGAAGGAGAATGAAGGAAGGAGCCCGAGAATGGGGATGGCAAGGCCGGAGGAGGAGGTGCATCCCAGAAAGCAAAGCCGGAGCAGAAGGGTGGCCGAGAGGCGGCCAAGTCCAGAATGTTGCCTCTGCATTTTTCAGCCAGGAACTACTTGGTGGTTTTATTGGAAGCAGTTTCAGGAGAATGAGAGAAGGTGGAAGCTCGAATGCAGTGGTCAAAGGTGTGGATGGGGAGTGAAGATGTGAAAGCTGCAAGTATAGGCCACCTTTGCACAACGCTGGGATTTCATCAAAACTTGACTCCCTGAACTTGAGCCTTCCCCTCAACTTTCCTATTACCATGCTCCATCCTGCAGGGCGACGTGGTACTGTGCTAGGTACACACATACTTCAGGCTGCGTGACAGCTGCACTTCTCATTATACGTTAATAGCATTTTGGCTTTAGGAAGAATAAAGAAGGAAAGACAGGTTTGGCTGAGAGAATGGAGATAGCTAGAGGAAAAAAATCTAGGTCAAAGAAGGGAACTTTTTTTGAGGAATGAATGCATTAAGCAAATTTATAGCTGAGCGGAAGGACAGAGTGAATTTGAAGTGAAGGACTAGGGGCATCTTCTGGTTGGTAAGTGCTGAGAGCAGCTCGTAGGTACCAGGAATGGGAATAAGTGTGGGGGATACAGGATTGACTGCAGACACAGGGTCCCAGACAGGACAGTGGGCGTTAGGCAGGGCTCAGGCTTGGACAGGAGAGACCCCCCCCTCCCGCTCCAGGGCAGGATGCAAGCTGGGTCGTGCCATTTCAGGGTCCGGAAGAGGGCCTGAGGGCAGCGGACTTGGGGAAAGTTTCTGAGAGGAAACAGAGGGAACTAACATGTTCCTACAAACTGTGTCAGAACCCATGCTGAATGAGAAAGCACAAAGTTATGG